TTCTGTTATTGCTATAACATCAGGGGACCCATCGGCTACCTGTATTCGAAGTCAACCAGCCGTGCTACCGTTATACGATAAAAGGAGGTGGGATTTATAGCCCCTACTTTGCGTTGTGAGGAGGAGGTTAGGTCCAGTCAGTTGCGACCACGTATGCCGACAATTGAGTGCAAATGACTTAATTTAATCACCGTTTGCTGTCTACGAAATGTGAGCTGAGCGGTTGAAGCTGGCTTTACAAACCCAGAATTACGCGCTGGACCCCAACGAATTTTGAGGTTGATATCAGAACAGTGGTAGCTTAAAAACCCCGGTCAGCGTGAAGTTATAAGAACAAAGGCTAGTGCCATCTGCTTAAAGCGGTCAAAATAACTGAAATAAAAAAAACAAATTAGAGAAAAGACACATGACACACACACACACACATACAAGTTTGGGTCAAGTAACAACGATCGAATTTTAGTCACATGATATCTCTGGAGAGTAAGTAAATATGAGGGTGTAAACGAAGTCCGTAGTAAACATTTGATTATATAGGTGGGCACAGTTGGCGATTCACGCTAAGACCAGCTTAATACGTCTTGAGATCGTGTGGTTAGAAGAAAAAGGAAAAGCCCACAGGCGAGCTGATGTAACACACATTTCGCCACTATTCAGAGATGGTGATGACCAAGAACAGGAGGGGGAGGAGTGGGGAGATCTGAGTATGAGTAAGGCAGGGAGAAGAAAAGCAGTCAGTCAAAAAATCTGATGTGGGTGTGTGCCTTGAGTGGAGTCGCGACGTCTGGAAGCCTCAGGGGCAAAAAGGCTGGAGTGCTGAACGACACGGGGGAGGGGAAGAGAAACAGAGAATTATTGACAGTTGGGGCCATACCCAATCTGGTTTCCTATCTTCCGTTTTGTTACACTGGCCTTTTTTAGGAGTGCATACAAAATTCAACTTAGATAGAATTGTCTTTGGGAGAGGAAAGGATGCTGTGTGGTGGAAAGAGCGAACGAGACGCACAGGAGGAGAACAAATGCACCGAAATCGGGAGTTGGAGATGAAGAAAAACCCAGCTGGATCCTTCTATAGGAGATCCAGACTGGAACTGCGCATTGTCAGCGTGGAGCTCTCTGAGCGTGACAGACAGGACCCCGAGCAGGCAAACGACGGCTTGAAGCGCAGGAAGGTCACAATGCTCGGCGGTAGACCAAGGTGATCAAGCATGGAATCTGGGAAGTACTGTTGGACAACGCAAAAAATAGGCAGAGTAAACTTGCGATAGCAGGGGCTACGAACTGCAGAATAAGATAACAATGGTTCACTATGGTTCCGTATATTTAGGATAATAGGCATCTTCTTTGAAGACCCTTTAAAAAACATTCAAGATAAATATACATTTTACTATAGAATAGTAAGTAGCATATTCATATTGATAATGTTTTGCTACAGTCATCATGAAGGAGCACCGGTGAAACATATTAAAATGTAATAAAGTGTAATACAGTCTGGATGCGCGCAATAGAGGGAGTAAAATGCACGCTATCACAGTTTTGGGTTACTCCTCGGTATCCAGATTGAGGAATGTTCATCAAACATGTAGTTCTTACTCTCTTCCTAATTTAAACCACCCTCTATTGAGACTTAAACGAATAACTATGCAGTTTGAGGGGCGAAAATTCAATTTCATTTCGCAACCATGTCGCCTGAAAGTCAGAGGTTTAAGGGTTGCAAAATAAACTTTAAGAAGACCTTTGCTTCATGCCCGGGCCGTCGGACTCCCCTCAGTCAGCAACCCTCAGCCCTCACCTCCATTTTCTCGTAGTTGGACTACGAAACATACAGATTCTTGTTGTACTCTCCTTGTCATTGACGATAGCCTTCTGTAGGATTCCGAAAGCTCAGGCTTATACAAGTGCTGTCACAGTGATCGCGCCTTTTTCTTCTTTGCAAGGAGAACCTGGAGCTCGTATATTCGCTTCCATTCGTGAGTTGCAATATCATTTTGGCCTTATTAATAACCACTTTGTCTGAGTTTTATTGACTCACACATAAAGGCATTCACTTACGTTTTATTCGCCTGACATTTCTGCTTCCATCGCGGATCCATCCTCAGAGATAATAGCAGAAACAGGTAAGACATACACAGGGAGTTGCAGTATTTATAGGATACAGTCACTGTGCTACTGCATACTTTTGATAATTAATAGCTCCCCCGTATAGAGGATAGTTGCCCGATGGCGCCCCCAGTAGATTAACAAGTGTATTGGCCTGCCCAACCTATATTCGATGCTGAGGCTCAGTTAAGCCGAAACAATTCGCCACCCGGGGGCGCACAGGCGAACGAGTCATCTAACGCCAGCGCCAGAGAGCAATATAGCCGAGCAGTCGTCACGCCCAAATCCAGCACGGAGGATGAAAGTTCAGCAAGTCCCTTGCCGCATACCAATCATCAAGCCATTAGTGCACAAGCAGGCAATTATCCTCGATAGGGGATAGCCGTTAATTGTCAAACGTATGCAGTAGCATAGGGACTGTATCTTATAAATACTGCAACACCTTGTGTATGAAGCACCTATTGTCCGGTAATGGATTCGTGACGAATTTGAAACATCAGACGAATAAAGATCCTGTCCCAGCGATCGCATCTGTTTCTTCCCAACGAGTAAAACTGTGGCACTCAAAGAGAGGATAGTGCCTTGAAGAGGTACTCAGAGTCACTCTGAGCTTCAGGCAATAGGGACCGGATCGTTTGTGACACCAACACGGAAAAGACCTCCCGCGAGGTCATGGCAAACGATATACATATTCAACAGCAACACGACAAAATAAGAACGCTTGCCGACACCCCAGTGGAGACTGGGAAAAGCTCACCTGTCGAATTTTCTGCCGCACAATAGCCTGCAGAGTGGGCGGAGGTTCCAGCTGGTACACAAAGACAGCGTCACTGCGTCGCCAGGGTTGACCGAATTCGACGGTCGTGGTGGTGGTGGCGGCGGTGATGATGGGGCCAGACTGAGTC